CACCTGGTTTGAGTGAATGTGTGATTAACAATCTTCTGAAGACCTGCTGAAGAGCAGGGAAACAAGTAAAACATGCTGGATAGGGTACTTGAGGACCACGGTTGAGAACCACTGGTTTAAACCATATGGCTGCACAAAGTATAAAATACAAGACTGGATGTTAAATTCAGTTAATCAGTCACAAAATTTCCTTCAGTCGATTATTCTACAGACTAAATCAACTATCTGATAAAAAGTAAAAAAAAWTTTTTTTCATCCCCCATTTGTGGCGCCCCTAGATGGATGGCCCCCTGAGCATTTGCCTATTCTTCCTATGCCACAGGCCGGTCTTGAACATGGGTTCTAGGGAACAAGAGGGCCGAGATGTGCTGCCACCATTTTATATTTTATCATAACAACTTACAACTAACAACCAACTTGTCAGAACAACATTACTGGTTCAGAAAAATCTAATGCAGAAAAGCCAAACTTGGCCTGAAGACTCATATTAGCGAGGACATACAAAATAAATTATAGTTTTATTTTTATCTTTGCTCCTCCTGGACGGTGAGTTCTGATTGCAAATGTGTTTTAGATTAGCTTTGGATCTCCATCAGAACACGCTGCAGTTTTTGTCCTTTGGTTTCACAGCATGTTGAGACCTGAAGACCGCCCTGATGACTTCATCAAATACTTCATTAACGGATCGATCAATCAAAGCTGAGCACTCCAGGTACTTCACCGCACCTGGTTACAAAAAATAAGTAAATAAATAAAAACTGGCAAATAAGATAACTATTTTGACATGTCGTCATAATACAGCAGAAACTGTTATTTTCCATCTTTCAAAACTAGATAGGGTGAGCAGGTTTTTCAGAATGTGTAGAAAGTTCTACACATTACAGATAACCAAAGATTTTAGTAAGTCATCTGCAGATAAAATCCAAAGTGTACTTTAATTCTGTTTAGGGGGGAATGTAAAATCGAATCTGAATTTTATATCATGTTATATCATTCCCTCATCAAAGACATGCCCAGAGTTGTAAAGTAACTAAGTACAAATACTTTGTTACTGTACTTAAGTAGAAATTTTGGTTATCTGCACTTTACTTGAGTAATTAAAAGGAAAAAAAATTGTATAGGTCTTCTGGACGGGTTCATCTCTAATGAAACGTTTCGACTCTCCTCCAAGAGACTTCTTC